GCTGCAAGGGAATCTTTCTGACTAATTAATGTACTTATATATATATATATATATCCCTTGAGCTTTGTAAGCCCTGCTGAACACTCAACCGGCAACCACAAGTGCAGAGCCGTTGGAGCCGCTAAGACCCTCAAACCCTAAAGCCCTACAGCCTAAATCCCTAAATTCCAAACCCGCAAACAACTTATGATATCCCATAGTTCCACCATGGAGAGCCTTAGTAAGAACCCGTAAAACCCTCTCAGGTGAGCCGGTGGCCTCTTCAGATGCAGCGCCTGCGGCTTCGGCCGAGAGCCAAAGCACAGGCAAGGGAGAAGAATTACGGTTTCTGTGCTTGTTGGGTTTCCATACTTTGAGGGTTTAGGGTTTAGGGTTTCTATGCCTTGAGGGTTGGGGGGTTAGGTTTTAGGGCTTCTGTACTTTAAGGGTTTGGGGTTTAGGATTTCTGTACCTTTCCCACCAGGACTGCTTTGGCGCAGGGTCCCTGAGATTCTATACGCGCGGTTTTATGACAAAGCCCCGCAAATCGCTAGGTCAGGTAGGCTAGTAGGGTTTGCATGATGGGGTGTGTGGTCGGTGGGGGTGTAGGGTGTTGTCAGGGGTGGCTTTCAAAGATTTCGACTCCCCAAAAGCGCGCTGAAAAGCCTTTGCCTGAGCCCGGCTTAAACTGTGAAGCCCCCGACGTAAGACCTATGTCGCCTCACATAGACGCCTGAATAAGTAGTAATACTAGGAACCCTAAACCCTAAAACCGAAGGCCCGAACCCTGGAAGCTTAGCCCCCCAAACCCTATTAAGAATAGTTTACACCTCTGGGCTAACCGACCCGAAACTGAATCCTAAACGTCATTACAAACCTCAAAATTTGAATTTCAGAAGCCTGAATTAGGGTTTAGGGTTTAGGGTTTAGGGCTATCATTATGCCAGATTCTCCCTTCGGCTTCCTTAGCAGAGTTTATAGTTTAAGAGCCCTAACAACGAACCTGTTCCAATGATTGACGCCCCCAGACTCAAGCCCAACTTTATAGTAGAACCCCTTATATACGTTGCTCTCTTGGGGTTTCGGAAACCCTAAACCCTAAACCCTTCATTGCTCAATTGGGGCTTTCGAAAATCCTTAGACCCTAAACCCTGCATAGCTCTGTTGGGGCTTTCCCTAAACCCGACGCCCAAAACCCTACCCTAAACCCTAAACCCTAAACCTTGCTCTCTTGGGCTTTAGGCCCCCCTGCCAGGCCCCACCCCAGAAGAGCACCCGCACACGGAAGCGCCGCCGGAGCTCGATGTCCGGGGCCCAGTTTGGGTTTAGGGTTTAGTGTTTAGGGTTTAGGGTTTAGGGTTTAGGGTACTGGGCTTTTGAGATTTAGGGTTGGGGTTTAAGGGCTTAGGGTTTTTGGGATTCAGGTTTTATAAGGGTTTATGAATTTTTAAAGTCCGGAAAGTAAGGTGACCATAAAACGTACTGGTCACAAGGGATCAAGAAACGGATCCCTAGGGATCTGAGCATCCGAATTTAGGGTGTCGGCTTGAGGATTTTCAAGCTCTACCCGCTCTACTACAAGGGTTACGATAGGGGTAGTCTTCTAAAGGAAGGTCCATTTTGGGTCCAAAATAGTACGGCACCCCTATAAAGCCTATAAATAAAGAGGAGCCTAAGAGGGATCTTAATTTAGAGAGCTACCCGTAAGAGGATCTCTTAAGGATCCCCTTAACCCTAAACCCGAAATCCTAAACCCTAAACCCTAGACCCTTACCTTAAACACTAGACCCTAAACCCTAAACCCTAAACCCTAAACCCGAAACCCTAAACCCTAAACCCTAAATCCTAAACCCTAGATCTCCAAGGGTTTACGGCCTACATGCTAGGGTCCAAAATGTAGGGTATAAGGTTTAAGGAAACCTAACCAACCTTAAGCCGTAAACCCTAAGCCCTAAACCTCAACCCTAAACCCTAAACCCTAAACCTAAACCCTAACCTCAAAATCGCCATATCCCCAAAACCTGTGAGGCAAAGCCCTAAACCCCAAACCCCTAAATCCCCGAATCCCTAAACCCCTGAATCCTGAACCCCTCAACACCTTAAACCGGGGGTAGTGTTTAGGGGTTTAGGGTTTAGGGGTTTAGGGTTTAGGGTTTAGGGTTCCGGGCCGCTGCATCCCTAAACTTTGAACCTCTGCACTCCTCTGAGGGCTTGGTGATGCTGGCGCTGAAGTCGCCCAAGGAGCGCAACTTCCTCCTGAAGCTCGAGAGCCGCACCCTTACAAAGAGGTTTAGGAGTTTTGGGCTTTAGGGTTTCAGGGCTTGGGGTTTAGGGTTTAGGAGTTTTGGGCTTTAGGGTTTCAGGGTTTGGGGTTTAGGAGTTTTGGGCTTTGGGGTTTCAGGGCTTGGGAGTTTAGGGCATCAAGGCTTTAGGGTTTGGGAGACGAGGGCTTTGGTTTAGTGTTTGGGGGTTCTGGGCTTTTGGGGGTTATGGTTTGGGGGTTGAGGGCTTTTTGGGGGTTTGGGGTTTGGGCGTGTAGGGGATCAGGGGTTTAACGGTTTTAGGATTTATTTTAGGGGGGAACCCTAAACCCTAAACCCTAAACCCTAAACCGGGACCTTTATAGAACCCTTAAAGGGACCGAGCTGGGAGCTCCAGCACTATAGTACTTGGGAGCTCCAAGGAAGCGTCGGAAGTCCGATTTCTGGTTCTGAAGTGCAGGGTTTAGTGTTTGGGCAGGTTTTTGGGGTTTAGGCATTGAGGGGTGTGTTTTTTTCTTTGAGTTTCATGGTTGTGGTTTAATGTTTGGGGTTTAATGTTTAGGATTCAAGGCTTAAGTAAACCTTAAACCCTGCCGAAAACTGTGACGAGGTCACATCATCAACAACCTGCACAGCGGCCAGCCGCGGCCTCAGGGGCAGATCTTTGTAGCAGCTTCATGTTGATGCTGCTGATGATGCTTACGAATATTACTACCACTATAGGGCTGCGGTTGTTGTTCAGGGTCCGGCCAGACTTCGGTTTAGAGTTTAGGGTTTCGTAACTTGCACTCTAAACCCCAAGCCCTCGACCCTAAACCCTGTAAAGACCCTGCAGCAGTCCTGGAGAACTCCGATAGCCCTAGGACCCTAGCCCTAGGATCCGCGAAGGGATTGAACACATCCCTAGTATACATGGATCTGCAAGAGGCCTATGATGGTAAGCAGCGCTTTGCAAAAGCCTTAGATCTAAATAAGCGGTATGCCTGAGTTCTCAAAAGTCTTCCGCTTGTATAATCATGAAGCCCTGATGAGTTCCCGTTACACGAAAAAGCCCTAAGACCGTTTCCTACCCGACACCTTAAACCCTGACCCCTAAACCTGAAACCCACAGTCCCAAACCCTAAATCCATAACCCCTAAGCCCCCCTGAACCCTACATCCAAACCCTAAACAGATGAATCCTAAACCCCTGAACCCTAAACCCCTAAACCCTAAACCCCTAAACCCTAAATCCCTAAACCCTAAACCCCTAAACCCTAAATCCTAAACCCTAAACCCCTAGCCCTAAACCTTTATCGTCAAGCCCAGGATTGAGCGCATTCGGCTTTCCACGCCGCTGCCGCCCAAGCTGCGCAAGCTGGAACGGGCCTCAGAGCTGGACCTACCCAGAGACTTATCCGGTTTGGGGTTTAGGGTTTAGGGTTTAGGGTTTAGGGTTTAGGGTTTAGGGTCTAGGGTCTAGGGTTTCGGGTTTAAGGTATGGGTATCATTATGGGTATTCTTCTGGGTATTATCCTGGTATCTCGGGCTGTGTAGGGGTTCTTAGGGGGGGACTCCGTGCCTCCGGCTCCGAGGGTTTGGGTTAGAGGGGTTTCGGGTCTCGGGCTTTTAGGGTTTAGGGTTTAGGGTTGGGGGTCCTCAGCCCTGAACCTTAAACCCTAAGCCCTAAACCGTGGGGTTTAGGGTTTAGGGTTGGGGGTCCTAAGCCCTAAACCTTAAACCCTAAACCCTAAACCGTGGGGTTTAGGGTTTAGGGTTTAGGGTCTTGATTTGGGGTTTAGGGTTTCAGGGTTTGGGTTGGGGTTTCGGATCCCTAGTTTGAGGTTGTAGTGTTTCAGGGGTTTTGGGAGTTGGGAGTTTGTTCAGAGGGTTTAGGGTTCAGGGTTTAGGGATGTTCATGGGCTTTGGAGTTTGAGGGGCGAGCAGTTTGCTTGGAGATTCTAGGCACTCTGTTGTGAGTTTTGTACTTTAGCTGGGGTCGAAAAAACCCTGACCTTTTTTAGGGATTATATATATATATATATGTATGTATATATAGAAACCATAATCAGGAACCCTAAACCCTAAACCCTAAACCCTAAACCCTAAACCCTAAACCCTAAACCCTAAACCCTAAACCCTAAACCCTAAACCCTAAACCCTAAACCCTCCATGGGTTTTTCGACGACAGGTTGGTTTTCGCGTCTCGGGCCCGGATAGCCCTTCGGCCTCGGGCTGTCGGGAGCATGCCCAGAGACTCCAATACCCCTTAACTAAGGAATATAGGTTTAGGGTTTAGGGTTTAGGGTTTAGGGTATACCTTAAATTATAGTAGGATCCCTAATAAGATTTTAAAGGGTACCTTATTTTGGGGTCCTTATACAAAAAGGATCCTATTACTTAGGGTACTATATTAGGGTCCCCTATTTTCGGAAACCCCCATGTCATGTCCGGAACTCTGCCCGTGGGTTTAGGGTTTAGGGTTCAGGGTTTTGGGGTTTGGGCGTTTAAGGGGTTTGGGGTTTAGGGTTTAGGGTTCAGGGTATGGGGGTTTGGGGGTTTGGGGGTTTAGGGGTTTAGGGTTTAGGGTCTAGGGGCGGAGTGCACAGCCCTAAACCCCCAGACCCTAGAAGCCCCAGCCCCATAATAAGCCCTAAATTGTGGGCTGGGGGCCTCTGATGCTTCTACCGAGATCTGTAGAAAAACCGTGGTAGACCTTTATGAGGAGTATCTCATGCACCCCACATGTGAGCGTAAGTGCTTTCACTCGGAAAACGGCCAGGTGCACATGGTGGCAGACTACTTTGGTCTCCACAGGCAGCGTGCGGGCTCACGGCTATCCCGGCACTCCAGATCCTAAGCCCTAAATCCTCGACCGTAAACCCGAAGCCCAGAATCCGAAACCCTAAACTCTACATTCCCAACCCCTACATCCTCGACCCTAAACCCCAAATCCTAGACCCCAAATGCTACACCTTAAAGCCTGAGCCCGCGCCCTCGCCAGTGCCATGTAGAGTTCAGGGGGAGGAGAGGGGAAAGATTACATTCAGATTTGAGGATCAAGGGAGAAGTGGCTGGGTTTAAGGTTACGGATTTACATGACAAGGAACTGAATAGAGCTGAATAGTAGGCTGGAAGTGCAGTTTTTGTGCACCTTCAATTGGGATTCTCTGAATTAGAATGCTGCCGATAACCTACTTGCAAGGCACTGATCCTTCAACCATTCAGGGATGCGCAGTGAGCGCCTGATCTGTTCCGAAACTCTTTCACTGTAAAGTGTCGCAGGCTTTTCACACGGATCAGTGCTGGGGTTCTCCATGCAGTGCCATACCTGCATGAGGATCAATGACATTCCAACTTCCTGGCTTCAATTGTAAGCCCCTCAAGTTCCGTCTGCAGCTGTGACTTGCATATCAGGAATGTGGACAAGGAGGAGGGCGAGGAGAAGAAGGCCGGATGAATTGCTCCGGGCTTGTTTGGAAATTTCAGAGCCTCTACAACGTCTTCTGCTTGGAATCGTCGAGCTGTGTGGCCGTAACCCGAAGCCCCAGTGCGTGGACGGCATCCTAATTTAGGGTTTTGAGCTGTTGGTAGCATTCCTAAACCCAAAACCCCAAACCCAAAACCCCAAACCCCAAACCCTAAACTTGCTAGCATTCCCTCATAGTCCCTATGGGCTGATGTGCCGGAACACTGTGAGAATTCCCAGGAGCTAACACTTTCTAAGCGTTCCTGCAGTTTCGTGGAAGGCTACGGCAAAGAAAAGAAGGCAAAAGAAGACATCATGTTAAAACTTTTGCCCAGAAAGTCCTACTGTCTGGTAGGGTCTCCGTAATTTGCGAATTCACTTTTGTATGAAGTCTCTACAAAGGTAGGTTGAAGTAGGCTAACGGCGAATTTATTCGCAGTAGTAGTAAAAAATGCGGCACCATCATCTTCAACCTCAACCCCGTCACGCGACCTACAAGCCCTGTACCCCGGGAAACATGAACCCAGAGACTCCAATATCCCTTAATTAAGGAATATACCGTAAATTATAGTAGGATCCCTAATAAGATTTAAGGTATATTCCTTAATTAAGGGTATTGGAGTCTCTGGGAACCTCCCAGCCGGCCGCCTCAACATCGATCGCATCGAGACAATAGTCGTGATGATGAGGAGGAAGATGATGAAGCGACGACGAGACAAATGGTTATGGTTGTTGCCAGTCATACCGTGATACCGACTGTTTCCATGCCCTTTTTGAGACACCATGCTTGCAGTAGCATCAAGAAGCAAATCAGCAGTAAAGACCTCGCACATGGCTGCCTCTTTCTGAGTGCGTTTTTCCGTTGGATATACCTCTACTTGGAATTCCTTCCCCGGGAATTCTATGTGCCCTAGCGGAGAGGCCACCATGACCTTGCTCAAGGTGCCGGAGACGCGTATCCCTGCTATGAGCTCGGAAGACGATCTTGAGTCAGAGCGATTTGGGGCATACTATCAGGTCCGACTAACTAATAGTATTATCCCCTGATCGTCTCTGTATACTGATAATTATGAAAAAATACCCCAAACCCTCATTCGAGCCCTCAGCTTTTGACGTAAGAGGGTGTGAGGAGGACTTCCTTCCATTTTGACTTGGCAGGTCCACCTTGCCCTGTGTAAAAGCAACGACGATGACGACGATGGCTTCAGAACTTGCTGGCCCCGAAAGAACTTTGCCCGATCCCTTCTGGGTTTAGGGCTTTATGGTAGAACCCCCATAGAGCCGGTATAGAGCCTGTAGGGCTTGCAAGGACGTTCATCACCGGACAGCCACGTCCGCCAAGCCCTTCATCTTACCTGTCCTGCTCTGGGTTGGCGGTTGCCGACTCCGTTCAACAGTATTCAAGAGCCTGCCTCCTGCTGTACCTTTCAGAATCTGGTTGAGGGTTCGATAAGGGTGGAGGGTTCAGGCTTGAGGGTTTAGGGCCTGGTGTGTAATATCGGTGCAATCCTATTTGGGGTTCCTTATTCTAGTTTATAATTTTACAATTTGCCAAACCCTGTTCTAATTATAAATCCCCTGAGAGTCGGGCATCGAAGCGGGCCTCCGTTCAACTTCAGGAATGAAGAAGCCCGATTCCCTCCTTATATAAGACCCAAACTCAACACGGAGGCCAAGAACAGCCCACTGCAGGGACCCTTGCAGAGCCCTTGCAGAGCCCTTGCAGAGCCCCTACTAAACCTGACATAAGCCCTGTAAAGCATTGAATTTATATACACCCATAACCGCCGGGGCCATCGTTTGAGAAAGGCCCGTACGCTGTCCGTCATTTGCGCGGAGCTGGACGACGAGGCCGCAGCAAGCAGTTCCCACCACATGCCACGAATAGCAGGTGAATGCAGATTGCAGCACTGGAAAATCTGACTGGTTCGCAATATTCAACACAGGAAAACAGGACACTTTGAGATACTTGTCTTTACACTACCAGCAGCAGCAGCATCAGCAGCAGCAGCCGTAGTAGCAGAAGTCCGGCGGACGAAACAGAAGTTGTAAGCATGGTCGCCCTGATGATGCCATGATCCCGAAACCCTAAACCCTAAACCCTAAACCGTGCATTACATCCCACAAAAGGCACAGCTTCGTAGGTCGTACTCTGATCCGTAAATCCTACACCCGAAACCCCTAGACCCTCGGCTCTGGGCCTTCATCCCTAAACCCTAAACCCTATGTTTTAGGGTTTAGGGTTTAGGGGCCCTAAAACCCTAAACCCTACATTTTTGGGTTTAGGGTTTAGGGTTTAGTGGTCCTAAACCCTAAGTCCTATATAATCGCCAAGCCCCGGACCCTACACCCCAAACCCTAAGCCCTAAACCCCCAGAGCGCCCCTCAAAGCGCAGGACAGGCAGCCAGTTCAGTTGCAGAGGAAGGCAGCAGAAAGTGGAGGTCGGTATTGCTTGTAATATAGGGGCCTGAGTAAATAGAATAGGGTTTTGGGGGTGCAGGGTTCCTTTAAAGGGTTCCTTCAAGGGCCCTATAAGGGTTACTATAAGGGCTCAGGGTTTAGTGGCCTTAATAATCAGAATAGGGTTTTGGGGTCCAATATACTATATTTATAGTAAGGAACCTCCAAAATAGTATAGGCGATTATTGGGGCCTCTAAATTACCGGGATTTCATTGAGATTGGGCGCTTAGCTTTAGGGTTTGAGGTCTAGGGTGTATGGTTAAGGGTCCGGGGTTTAGGGTGTAGGGTTTGAGGTGTAGGGTTCGGGGCTTAGGGTCTGAGCTTTCGGATTTAGGAGGTCTTGGTGGACACAGCAGCCTGAACCCTAAACCCTGACCCCCAAACCCTGAACCCTAAACCCTGAACCCCAAACCCTGAACCCCAAACCCTGAACCCTAAACCCTGAACCCTAAACCCTGAACCGTGTTGGGGTCGCCAGCTTTTGCCCACAAGCGAATGTGTCTGGCTTAGCATGCCCGAGGTTCGAACGAGTCGGGTTTGGGTTTAGGGTTTAGGGTTCTGGGTTTTGGGGGTTTAGGGTTTAGGGCTTTAGGGTTTTGGGGTTGAGGGGTTTAGGGATTAGAGTCTAGGATTCAGCTGACGCCTACAGACTCGCTCCGTGCGTCTAGGAACCGAAGTTTGGAATTCATAAGCAGTGTTGTGCGAAAGAACTCGGCAATATAGAGCCCTCATAGGACCGTTGACTCTAACAGCCTTTACCGAATCCTAGTAGAACTCGCTACACCCCAAACCCCCCCTTGGTTCATCCTTTCAACTGGTACTTGGTACTTCCTCAACCCTAAACCCAAATTCCCTAAACCCAAAAACCCTATACCCCAAACCCCAAACCCTAAACCCTAAGCCCTAAACCCTAAACCCCAAACCCTAAACCCTAAACCCGAAACCCCTAAACCCTTAAGCCCAAAGCCCTCAACCCCAAACCGTCAGAGCCCCAAGTTGAACCTTGGGGCTCGTTCAGTTCTCTGGGAGCCCGGAGATGTCGTCATACCTCAGCTGAGGTGAGAAGTCCTGTTTAGATATTTTTTGGGGTTTAAGGTTTAGGGCTTTGGGTTTATGTGCTCAGTAAAGTATTATGATTCTGATCATGATGCTTACTATCATCATTATGGTTGTTATCATTAGGTTTGCCATGTACCCTTGTTGTTATTATTATGCTTAAGTTGTAGTGTCGTTCCTCTTTCTCAAGGGACCTTTGAGTTGGGGGATGTTGGGGTCTTCGGAAACTAAACCCTAAACCCTAAACCCCTAAACCCCTACACCCCTAAACCCCTAAGCCCCTAAACCGCCTAAACCCCTAAACCCCTAAATCCCTAATCCCCTAAACCCTTAAACCCTCAACCCTAAACCCTAAACCCTAAACCCCTAAACCCTCAACCACTAAGCACCAACAGCAGCCATTTTTTGAGAAGCGCTGGCCCTGAAAGGTGGCGACGACGGTCCCTCCGGCAGAGCTTGGGGTTCATGGTTTAGGGTTCAGGGTTTTTAGGGTTGAGGGTTTTTAGGGTTTAGGGTTCAGGGTTTGGGGTTCAGGGTTTAGGGCTTTTAGGGTTGAGGGTTTTTTAGGGTTTAGGGTTCAGGGTTTCGGGTTCAGGGTTTAGGGTTCAGGGTCTGGGGTTCAGGGTTCAGGGT